TCTTGTACACACGTCACACTGCTACTGTATATCTCTGTCTTGTACACACGTCACACTGCTACTGTATATCTCTGTCTTAAACACGTCACACTGCTACTGTATATCCCCTGTCTTGTACACACGTCACACTGCTACTGTATATCCCCTGTCTTGTACACACGTCACACTGCTACTGTATATCCCCTGTCTTGTACACACGTCACACTGCTACTGTATATCCCCTGTCTTGTACACACGTCACACTGCTGCTGTATATCCCTGTCTTGTACACACGTCACACTGCTGCTGTATATCCCCTGTCTTGTACACACGTCACACTGCTACTGTATATCTCCTGTCTTGTACACACGTCACACTGCTGCTGTATATCCCCTGTCTTGTACACACGTCACACTGCTACTGGTATATCTCTGTCTTGTACACACGTCACACTGCTGCTGTATATCCCCTGTCTTGTACACACGTCACACTGCTACTGGTATATCTCTGTCTTGTACACACGTCACACTGCTGCTGTATATCCCCTGTCTTGTACACACGTCACACTGCTACTGTATATCTCTGTCTTGTACACACGTCACACTGCTACTGTATATCTCTGTCTTGTACACACGTCACACTGCTGCTGTATATCCCCTGTCTTGTACACACGTCACACTGCTACTGTATATCCCCTGTCTTGTACACACGTCACACTGCTACTGTATATCTCTGTCTTGTACACACGTCACACTGCTACTGTATATCTCTGTCTTGTACACACGTCACACTGCTACTGTATATCTCTGTCTTGTACACACGTCACACTGCTGCTGTATATCCCCTGTCTTGTACACACGTCACACTGCTACTGTATATCCCCTGTCTTGTACACACGTCACACTGCTACTGTATATCCCCTGTCTTGTACACACGTCACACTGCTACTGTATATCTCTGTCTTGTACACACGTCACACTGCTACTGTATATCTCTGTCTTAAACACGTCACACTGCTACTGTATATCCCCTGTCTTGTACACACGTCACACTGCTGCTGTATATCCCTGTCTTGTACACACGTCACACTGCTGCTGTATATCCCTGTCTTGTACACACGTCACACTGCTGCTGTATATCCCCTGTCTTGTACACACGTCACACTGCTGCTGTATATCTCTGTCTTGTACACACGTCACACTGCTGCTGTATATCCCCTGTCTTGTACACACGTCACACTGCTACTGTATATCCCCTGTCTTGTACACACGTCATAATGCTACTGTATATCCCCTGTCTTGTACACACGTCACACTGCTACTGTATATCTCTGTCTTGTACACACGTCACACTGCTGCTGTATATCCCCTGTCTTGTACACACGTCACACTGCTGCTGTATATCCCCTGTCTTGTACACACGTCACACTGCTACTGTATATCTCCTGTCTTGTACACACGTCACACTGCTGCTGTATATCCCCTGTCTTGTACACACGTCATAATGCTACTGTATATCCCCTGTCTTGTACACACGTCACACTGCTACTGTATATCTCTGTCTTGTACACACGTCACACTGCTGCTGTATATCCCCTGTCTTGTACACACGTCACACTGCTGCTGTATATCCCCTGTCTTGTACACACGTCACACTGCTACTGTATATCTCCTGTCTTGTACACACGTCACACTGCTGCTGTATATCCCCTGTCTTGTACACACGTCACACTGCTACTGTATATCCCCTGTCTTGTACACACGTCACACTGCTGCTGTATATCCCTGTCTTGTACACACGTCACACTGCTGCTGTATATCCCCTGTCTTGTACACACGTCACATTGCTACTGTATATCTCTGTCTTGTACACACGTCACACTGCTACTGTATATCCCTGTCTTGTACACACGTCACACTGCTACTGTATATACCCTGTCTTGTACACACGTCACCATGCTACTGTATATCTCTGTCTTGTACACACGTCACCATGCTACTGCATATCCCCTGTCTTGTACACACGTCACACTGCTACTGGTATATCTCTGTCTTGTACACACGTCACACTGCTACTGTATATCCCCTGTCTTGTACACACGTCACACTGCTACTGTATATCTCTGTCTTGTACACACGTCACACTGCTACTGTATATCTCTGTCTTAAACACGTCACACTGCTACTGTATATCTCTGTCTTGTACACACGTCACACTGCTACTGTATATCTCTGTCTTGTACACACGTCACACTGCTACTGTATATCTCTGTCTTAAACACGTCACACTGCTACTGTATATCCCCTGTCTTGTACACACGTCACACTGCTACTGTATATCTCTGTCTTGTACACACGTCACACTGCTACTGGTATGTCTCTGTCTTGTACACACGTCACACTGCTACTGCATATCTCTGTCTTGTACACACGTCACACTGCTACTGCATATCTCTGTCTTGTACACACGTCACACTGCTACTGGTATGTCTCTGTCTTGTACACACGTCACACTGCTACTGTATATCTCTGTCTTGTACACACGTCACACTGCTACTGTATATCCCCTGTCTTGTACACACGTCACACTGCTACTGTATATCTCTGTCTTGTACACACGTCACACTGCTACTGTATATCCCTGTCTTGTACACACGTCACACTGCTACTGTATATCCCCTGTCTTGTACACACGTCACACTGCTACTGTATATCCCCTGTCTTGTACACACGTCACACTGCTACTGTATATCTCTGTCTTGTACACACGTCACACTGCTACTGTATATCTCTGTCTTGTACACACGTCACACTGCTACTGTATATCCCTGTCTTGTACACACGTCACACTGCTACTGTATATCTCTGTCTTGTACACACGTCACACTGCTACTGTATATCCCCTGTCTTGTACACACGTCACACTGCTACTGTATATCCCCTGTCTTGTACACACGTCACACTGCTACTGTATATCTCTGTCTTGTACACACGTCACACTGCTACTGTATATCTCTGTCTTGTACACACGTCACACTGCTACTGGTATGTCTCTGTCTTGTACACACGTCACACTGCTACTGTATATCCCCTGTCTTGTACACACGTCACACTGCTACTGTATATCCCCTGTCTTGTACACACGTCACACTGCTACTGTATATCTCTGTCTTGTACACACGTCACACTGCTACTGTATATCTCTCTCTTGTACACACGTCACACTGCTACTGGTATGTCTCTGTCTTGTACACACGTCACACTGCTACTGTATATCCCCTGTCTTGTACACACGTCACACTGCTACTGTATATCCCCTGACTTGTACACACGTCACACTGCTACTGTATATCCTCTGTCTTGTACACACGTCACACTGCTACTGGTATGTCTCTGTCTTGTACACACGTCACACTGCTACTGTATATCCCCTGTCTTGTACACACGTCACACTGCTACTGTATATCCCCTGACTTGTACACACGTCACACTGCTACTGGTATGTCTCTGTCTTGTACACACGTCACACTGCTACTGTATATCCCCTGACTTGTACACACGTCACACTGCTACTGTATATCCCCTGTCTTGTACACACGTCACACTGCTACTGGTATGTCTCTGTCTTGTACACACGTCACACTGCTACTGTATATCCCCTGTCTTGTACACACGTCACACTGCTACTGTATATCCCCTGACTTGTACACACGTCACACTGCTACTGGTATGTCTCTGTCTTGTACACACGTCACACTGCTACTGTATATCCCCTGACTTGTACACACGTCACACTGCTACTGTATATCCCCTGTCTTGTACACACGTCACACTGCTACTGTATATCCCCTGACTTGTACACACGTCACACTGCTACTGTATATCCCCTGTCTTGTACACACGTCACACTGCTACTGTATATCTCTGTCTTGTACACACGTCACACTGCTACTGTATATCTCTGTCTTGTACACACGTCACACTGCTACTGTATATCCCCTGACTTGTACACACGTCACACTGCTACTGTATATCTCTGTCTTGTACACACGTCACACTGCTACTGTATATCCCCTGACTTGTACACACGTCACACTGCTACTGTATATCCCCTGTCTTGTACACACGTCACACTGCTACTGTATATCTCTGTCTTAAACACGTCACACTGCTACTGTATATCCCGTCTTGTACACACGCCACACTGCTACTGTATATCCCCTGTCTTGTACACACGCCACACTGCTACTGTATATCCCGTCTTGTACACACGTCACACTGTTGCTGGTATGTCCCATGTCAAAGGTAAACAGTTTTTAAAATAGCAAGGTTCTAAGTTGTGTCCAGATTAGCCTTATAGAGACGTGTAGTGCTGTAAAGACGCAGGGTGGAATTTAGATATCTCGATTAGCCTTAATGAAATTAAAATCTGAATAATATCTAAAAAAAATTAATCTTTGTCATATGATTGATGATGTTGAGTGATTGATTTTTCGAGCCATTTTCAGGAGTTAACCATACAGAAGTATGACGTGGACTAACCCAGAGAACGATGTGCCGCCTAGAACCCGACCTCCACTCTCCATCAGCCTAACACACGTACACTGCGCCAGTCATCTGTCACTACAGAACGTACCAGATCCGGCTGCGAGGACGACGACAGCAACTACCTTGCACAACTACTCGGTAACCATACCGGTCCAGAGGGAGGAGGTGATATGATCTGGACCAGACAGCTCACACTGACAAATATTGATTAACCTCATCAAGCAACACATTTTGGCAATTATCTACCCCGCCGACAGCATCTTGTTCCGTTAGAATCTATGTGTACCTACAGGAGACAGATTGTACATACAAATGAGTGGACGGTCATTTCCTCAGCTACACATAACGATTATGGTGTCCGATATCAACAACACCGGACACCGTACGTTGTACATTGTACACTGCATTGATGACGCTACCCACTCGACATCTCGTCTCTCTTTCCGATCTCCTGGCAAGCTCGGTTACACTTACCTTCTCGATCTTCTATCAACGCAGAGAAACATGTTTCACCCCACTGTGTATTTCTCCATACAGCTTAAGGAACAAGTCTACGTACATTTAGAACAGAATAAACAAGCCGGCAGCGAAGTCCTTCTTCCACCAACCTTGTTACATGATGGCCAAGGAAGCCTATGGTCCTGTCGGGTTAGATCACAACACACACAGGACTTGACTTCAATGTATTCCTTCTTTACATAGTGCCAACCCCAGCACGTGGTTCCAATATGGCCCTACACTCGTACAGCTGCATCTCTCTCAGACATGCAGATTCAGATTACGTGTCCCTGCCGGAACCTCAGCCATCATCTGGTGACAGTCAATGGATTCCTTGCAAAACCTGACCAACCTGCGACTATCCAGCAACGGCTTGGCCTAATGGAAACTCGATCCCTCGATACTGTTTAGCTTACTGAAACAACAACGAATCACGGCGACGCAGCGTTTTGTCACTGTTAAAGTTAACATGGTGGCGTGAAATGCACGAGCTTGAAGGGGAGAATCCATTACCAACGCCGTCCCCGAATGACTCACCCCGTCCTTCGTAATGAAGGAAACGAGGTCGGCGGTTCCAATTCAGAAATTCACTGACCCTCGCTGTTGGGAATATTGAATTTTTAGTCGAAGTGTTTTGGTCTAGTAAAGTGCATTTCATAGCGCAGTTGTCCTGCAACAGATGCTATTGGGTGAAATTTCGGAACAGCGGAGGTTAAATGCTGTATGAGGTTCTAGCTAGCCTTCTGTTTTCATGGTGTGTGTTACGTTTGCATTTATACAATATTCATGCGCCAACATTGAAGTGCCAATCACTCAACGATGTACGTCCCTCACCGTTAAAATCATCTGACTTTCACGCGTTTCTTTTCCCAATACATTAGAGATATTCATTGTGAGAGGTATTGATTTTCTGTTCTGTGCGTACTGGGATGTAATGTCAACAAAAACTTGTTCATGTTGGTTTGTGTGTTAAAAAGGGTATTCTTTCAAATTAACTAAATTCCTTTAAAAAACATTACATCAATTTTAACATGCTGGTGTTTTCCTTCAGATACGAAATAGTCACGAAAACAGGTTACACTGTATCAATATATTGATGAACTGAAAAGGACGGGGGCTGGCAGTCGGCGATGTCGTGTGAACTGTACATGCAGTTTGCTCTTCTCGTAAACACATTTAGAAAAGTAAATTGCAGTTTTCAACATTGTTTGTTTTCTCTGAAGACGGAACACACACGAGCGCCATTTTATGTGGAAATCTTTTATATTATTATTTGCAAGCTGACGGTGTGTGTTTTAAATCAATAATTTAAAAATAAAGACCGGAAACAGAATTTCAAATCATTCTCTGCCTAAAGTAGCTTTGTTGCGTTATCCCGTTCCACATACCAGGAAATTAATTTTATACTGAATGTTACAAACAGTTCAAGTTCTCCTTTTAGAGATTGCCATCATACAGCTGTTACGAATTTACCTCACTCACTCTTGGCCTCATTCTCTTATTATAGCGATACATGATCGATGTGTTCAACAATATTCAACTCAGTAATACGTCACTGCGGTGAATTACGTTGCGATGCGTTGCGTTGCGTTGCGGTAAGGTAAGGTAAGGTGCGGTGCGGTGCGGTGCGGTGCGGTGCGGTGCGGTGCGGTGCGGTGCGGCAAATGTGATTCAAGTCGTTCAAATACTCCTTTTGTTATCTACTGTCAAACATTTTATGATCACGCATATCCATCTCCCACTTACTGAATATCCTAACAACCGAGAGACCATGCCTCACACATTACACCAGTCTTGACCTTGACGGAAAATGACCCTGACCCTGGATAAAAATCTTCCTTTAAACATAATGTTGACCTCGTGCACCTTCACAACACCTGTAGTCGAGTCTCACATGCAACGAAGACTTTAGAGACCCGTGAAATTGACTTTAGAGACCCGTGAAGATCCGGGGTAGAATAGGTCTTCATCAACCCAGGCTTGACGTAAAAGGTGACTTTGCTTTTCGTAAGAGGCGACTAACACGTTCGGGTGGTCATGCTCGCTGACTTGGTTGATGCATGTCATCGTATCCCAATTGCGTGGATCGATGCTCATGATGTCAATCACTGGATTGTCTGGTCCATTCTCGATTATTTACAGACCGACGTCATATAGCTGAAATATTGCCTAGTGCGGGGTTAAACAACAAACAAACAAAACAAAAGCATTGACTTTAGATTAATACTAACATCTAAAGCTACATCTCTATCAGTAATCTAGCTGTGGACCTCCATTTAGACAAGAACTAAATGAGCCGTACGTTGGGAAAGAGGAGGAGTGCTGAAGGTCGGAGAAGGCAAGTCAGATCTAGCGGGAAGCAGAACCATGGCCTAGATACTTGAATATGGAACGACGGCACGAGGAGCATCATTCAACGTGGCTGTCACAGACGTTACCTCACAAGACACAATACCATGATTGCATTTCTAAAACAACAGTTAACAGAGCCACCAGATCAATATCCCGGCGAGGGAAGGACGCGATGCGGTTGTAGGACGTGGGCTGGCAAGACACGACTCGGCGAGGCCCCAGCCTCTGTACACTGGCCTCTTTGGAAACAGACTCTGTCATTTTGTGTGTTTTGGTGGTCGACAGCGGATGTCTAGTCCGGCATATTTCATTCGTTGCTCAATACTTTTCAACCTGTAAGTCTTGTCGAAGATATAAAAAAGTGGAAATAAACTTTAATTCTGTTTCTAATTCAAATGTGATTGATTTGAATACAATTGATGTTATAAAAAAACATCTTGTGCTGAAAAGACAACTGTCTCTTCAACAGAAGGCAGATCACGTATTTAATAACACACTCACATCCATTCCCATTCCCATCTCCTTCTCGGCTCTAGCAGCCTATACTCACCCCGTTCTCAGCTCTAGCAGTCTATACGCATCCCCTTCTCAGCTCTAGCCGTCTACACACAATCCCTTCTCAGCTCTAGCAGTCTATACACAATCCCTTCTCAGCTCTGGCAGCCCATACCCGTCCCCTTCTCAGCTCTAGCAGTCTATACGCATCCCCTTCTCAGCTCTAGCCGTCTACACACAATCCCTTCTCAGCTCTAGCAGTCTACACACAATCCCTTCTCAGCTCTAGCAGTCTACACACAATCCCTTCTCAGCTCTAGCAGCCTATACTTATCCCCTCCTCAGCTCTAGCAGCCTATACTTATCCCCTTCTCAGCTCCGGCAGCCAATACCCGTCCCCTTCTCAGCTCTAGCAGTCTATACGCATCCCCTTCTCAGCTCTAGCCGTCTACACACAATCCCTTCTCAGCTCTAGCAGTCTATACTTATCCCCTTCTCAGCTCTAGCAGTCTATACGCATCCCCTTCTCAGCTCTAGCAGTCTATACTTATCCCCTTCTCAGCTCTAGCAGTCTATACGCATCCCCTTCTCAGCTCTAGCAGCCTATTTCAATCACATTCTCAGCTCTAGCAGTCTACACGCACCCTCTTCTTAGCTCTGGCAGCCCATACCCGTCCCCTTCTCAGCTCTAGCAGTCTATACGCATCCCCTTCTCAGCTCTAGCAGCCTATTTCCATCACATTCTCAGCTCTAGCAGTCTACACGCACCCTCTTCTCAGCTCTGGCAGCCCATACCCGTCCCCTTCTCAGCTCTAGCAGTCTATACGCATCCCCTTCTCAGCTCTAGCAGCCTATTTCCATCACATTCTCAGCTCTAGCAGTCTACACGCACCCTCTTCTCAGCTCTGGCAGCCCATACCCGTCCCCTTCTCAGCTCTAGCAGTCTATACGCATCCCCTTCTCAGCTCTAGCAGTCTACACGCATCCCCTTCTCGGCTCTGGCAGCCTATACTTATCCCCTTTCTCAGCCCTAACAGCCTATACTCATCCCGTTCTCAGCTCTAGCACTCTACACGCATCCCCTTCTCAACTCTAGCAGCCTATACTCATCTCCTTCTCAGCTCTCCCCTTCTCAGCCCTAACAGCCTATACTCATCCCCTTTTCAACTCTAGCAACCTATACTTATCCCTTTCTCAGCTCTAGCAGCCTGTACACATCTTCTTCTCAGATCAAGCAGCATATTCCCATCTCATTCCCAGCTCTAGCAGTCTATACGCATCCCCTTCTCAGCTCTAGCAGTCTACACGCATCCCCTTCTCAGCTCTAGCAGTCTATACGCATCCCCTTCTCGGCTCTAGGTGTCTATACGCATCCCCTTCTCAGCTCTGGCAGTCAACACACATCCCCTTCTCAGCTTTTGCAGCCTACACGCATCCCCTTCTCAGGTCTAGCAGTCTACACGCATCCCCTTCTCGGCTTTAGCAGTCTATACGCATCCCCTTCTCAGCTACCATGACATACGACCGCCACCGGTCGCGTCATTCCAAAAGACTTTAAAAGATGGTACTTGTTGTTAAACTGTCTAGCGCTCGGCATTAAGGGGTTAAAACAAGGACAGGTCGGCTCGGAGTCAGTGTACTGTGTCTGAGTGGGGTATTCATGTTAAACTGCAGCATGGTGTCTCAGTGTGCTAGCACTATAAATCGGCATCAGTCCGGACAAGTACAAGACATACTGAACAGTCGCTGCGTTCCTAACGGGTAACTTACCCTTCCGACCCCTCTTTCTATGAACGATGTAAAGGATTATCCTTAATCGTTTAATCTCTCACCTGATTCTGAATCATTCATTAAGACATTATTTGTGAGAAATGTAGTCGCTCCCGAGGGCCCCATTAACGCTGCACGTGACTTCTGGGGTGGTTTCTACTTGTATATAATTGATAGACATTGTCGTTGACCAAAGTAATCAGCATCTCCGTCACACTAGGATCTGCGGCCTGGAAGGGGTTGTACATAATATAGAGGATTTAATGTGTTATGGTGTAGACTTAGGTGTCCTCTAACTGTGTTCACACTCACACCACGGTACTTGGTGTCCTCTAACTATGTTCACACTCACACCACGGACCTGGTGTCTTCTAACTGTGTTCACACTCACACCACGGCACTTGGTGTCCTCTAACTGTGTTCACACTCACACCACGGCACATGGTGTCCTCTAACTGTGTTCACACTCACACGCATCCCCTTCTCAGCTCTATCAGTCTATACGCATCCCCTTCTCGGCTCTAGCAGCCTATACTCACCCCCTTCTCAGCTCTAGCAGCCTATACTCACCCCCTTCTCAGCTCAGTACAAAGTAGACACAATTTATGGATAACAGTGAGTGGGTGAGTGAGTTGGGTTTAACGCCGCTTTTAACAGTATTCCACTTATATCACGGCGTGTCAGCTTAATGTGGGAGGAAAGCCCGAAGTGATGCAGGTCTCAGACGTTTACCATTTCAGTAAAACCCACGAGCACGGGTATGGTGCTGACAAACCTAGAAACATAATCGGGGCGAACCGGGATTCGAACCCACAATCATAGGTTTCTGGCGTGCCCAAGGGACGCAACTCTGCACAGCGAATCGTGACGCCTTTGACGACTGGGCCACCATTTCTGG